GGGGTCAGATACATTATTGCAAGGTTGAAGAGAAGCCATCGAAACCAAGTAGCAGCAATACAAGAGGTATTATTTAATGTTTGGGTAAGAACTTCATTGAGTTGTTATATTTGTGAGGAATAATATACTAAAACGAAATATATTTATTTTAGCTTGCTATGTATAGGGATGCTATAGGATCCTTCAGAACTAGACTTGTCAGGAATTCTCAAACCAAGATGGATTCAGGTTATCCCCTCGTTAATATTTTGTTCATTCATATATTTAATCTTATGAATTGTTCTTGCCCTTACAATGCTTTTTACATTTTAATCCAGCTGAATGGTGGGAGATATATGGTACTGATGCACCTCACCTAAAGAGGATAACAATCAAGTGCTCTCCCAGACATGTTCTGCTACTGACTGTGAGCGCAACTGGAGTACGTTCCAATGGTTGTACACTACCAGGAGGAATCGTCTCGCTTCAGAGAAGCTTCATAAACTAGTCTACGTTCATTATAACTTAAACCGTTGAGAGCGACAAATAAGAAGGAAACTTGAAGACTATGGGCCGATAGACTTAAACATAATATTTGTCACAGACACAGCAGACTAATGGGTAGTAGAAAAGGAAGAGCCAGTGTTGCACAAGAGAGCGTTCCTTGAGGCTATCGGTGAGGAAGATCTTGAAGAAGGTGATGAGCAGCATGAAAGAGGAAGCAGCCAGCCAACGTATCCACAATTCGTTGGAGATGTCAGATGATATTGTACATAATAAGGGAGAGTGGGAAGGGGGTCTAAGGAAAAATGAGAGAGATGATGATTCTGAGGCCACCCTATTTCAGCCATATTATTCACCTATTGAGTCCCAACAGCAACAATGTAGGGATGAACACGACAGTGTAGGTGAGCACGAAAGATGGACAAGCTTCGGGGATTTTGGATTGGGAACACAACAGAACACTAACACTCAGGGATTTGGGTATAGTCTGACGCCTACTAATATTGATGATTCGTTTTTAGATCGAATCAATGAATTGTTAAACGAATTCAATCAATGGCACCAGCAAGACCAAGAAGAACAACGACGTCGTATGTCATTTTATTTTTAGATCGTATGTTACTAACTGTATGCTTTATTATAGTCCATGTATGTTGATATACTTATTCCATGATAATTCTATGTTTATCCTTTTGTGTGATGTAAATTAAATGATAAATAGTAGTTCATGCAGGGATAAAACATATCAATATTCACATATTCATGCAAATAAATGAAAATTCTTAATGGAGTACCCTCATTTCTTATTGAATTTATAAAAAAAAATATTTATAATGAATTTTAATAATTTTTTCGGATTTTTTTGAAGCTTTATTCTAACCGCAATTCACCCGATTTCCGATCCAGATCGTCGATTCACCGATCTGGATCGATTTTTCAGGTGCCCAATCCTGGTCTCCGATCCGCTTTTTAAACCATTGATATATATATATATATATATATATATACACAAGATTTGACCTTGGAAATCTATTTGCCCTAGTGTTATAGTGGTTATAAATCTTTGGTCTAACTAAAATTTGAAGCTCCAAAATTTATACAGATCATGCAATTCCTAGGGTTGAAATCCACATTTTCTCTATCCCGTTTTGTTGGTTGTTAGATCCCTCATCTTCCAAGTAGATATTGATGGTCTGTTTACATGTTTTTCTATGTCAAGGATGCAATGCATTCTCTAGTGATATTCAAGGTGTGAAACGCTTTCCCAAGAAGACTATTTAGATTTGGAAAGCCATCCCCATACAAGTGAATAAATTTTTTTTTTTTTGTGAGTAATTTAATGGGGAAGACAGCCTTTTACCTGTTTTTCAAGTAGTTTAGGAGTTAATTTTTTGAACGTATTAGTAACGTGGTGTCATTCAGAATAAAAACCACCATGACCCCAGTCCCTTTCCCAGTGCAAGTGAACTTAACTTCCCATGGGAGTAGAGTAAATGAAAGTAAACATTATTCAAGTCTTTGGGTTTGAAAAATCATGCAAGTTGAAGCTCATTATTCAAGTCTTTGGGTTTGAAAAGTCATGCAAGTTGAAGCTAATGAAAGTAAGGTGACATAGTGATATTATGTCTATTTTACCTCTTGCAAAATTCTATGCTGTGAGCTGGTTCTCTTTCTCTCTCTCTAACATTATAGGAGATTTGGTCTTGGAAATCTGTCCGCCCTAGTAATACAGTATTATAGTGGCTCTAAATCTAGTTTTGTTCTAACTAAAATCCCTAGTAATATAATATTATAGTAGCTATAAATCTATTTTTGTCCTAAGTAAATTTGAAGCTTCAAAATTGGTGTAGATCACCTCATTCTTTGGATTGAAATCCACGTTCTCTACCCCTTTTTGTTGGTTGCTATATCTCTCATCTTCCAAGTATATATTCATCATCATCATCGTCAAATATTTTTTTCAACTAATTGGGATCGGCTACATGAATTCTGGTTTATCATTCTGCTCCATTACATCCGTACCCTTAGGAGCCGTTTGGATACCTGGAAATATATTGTATGTGAAATATATTACTGGCGTAATATATTACTGCATAATACATTACCTGCAAATCGATTGTTACTATTTGGGTAGTATTTAGATGTAACTTGGGACATACATGGCTACTATTTGGCTATGTCTAAAAGAAATATGGGAAATGCATTACCAATATTTTACCTATAAACTATCATTTCTTTCTTCTCTTTTGTCACAAAATTCCACTAAAATGTAAAATAAAAGTTGTCTTTACATCATTCCAAAAAGATTTTCTAATAATAACATCATCACCATTCTAAAAAGATTTTCTAATAATAACTTGTATCATTCTAAAGTTATCATCACACAATTTCTTATTTATTTTGTATGCCTTTGGTACATACATAGGATCATATGTCTTCGAACATGATTAGACTTTGGTTTCAATATGATAAGTCATTGGAATAATATGATTGGAATAACATATTTTTGTTGTGAGAAGAAGTTCGATTAGTAAACTAGAAGGTTGGTAATTGCAGTAAAAAATTTTAAGGTATTGGAGGAAACTAAAGAGGTATCTTATTTCAATTGAGTTTTTACTAATCTGTTATGAGGATTATGTTGGGTGAAATTTTTTATTATAATTGTCATGTGTAATTTGTCATTGATTAGATATGCTAAGGAGAATGGATATGCTAAGGAGAGAGGGAGAATAGAAAAATTCCAGATGAGAGAGTAATGGGGCTTAAAAAAAAAAGTTAAGATGAGAGGAAAGGGCTTAAAGATAAAAGGGGCTTAAAAAAAAAGAAGAAAAAATACAAATGAGAAGAAGGGGTTTAAAGAGAGAGGGAGCAACTTATACAAACTAGTTAGTAGGGTCCAAGAGAGAGGGGACAGACTTAGAGAGGGAGGGAGCATCTATGCAAACCGAGTAGGCGGGTTGACATTTTATTAACCTGGGATAGGACAGAGAGACGCATGCGAAAGATTTTTAAAGATTACCCGTCAAGCGCGTAATAGATTTTTCACCTTTCACAACGAGTAATGTGTTTCATGATTTTAGAGGAAATCTCAGGTAATCTCCTTCCATTTCCTTATGGTGGAAATGTCATATTTCATCGTAATCGATTGTCATATAATAGATTTTCAGGTACCCGAAGGACACCTTAGTGAAGCCATAAGTCCTTATAACTTTTCTTATTACTTTCAACCATGTCCTTTTGGCCTTACCCCTTACTTTTTTTGAGTCTTCGACTTGAACTAACTCACATTTTCTAACAGATACTGTATTGGATTTGTGTCATACATGACCAGGTTACCTAAGTCTACTCCATCTCATCTCATCGCTTATTGGTGCCACACTTAAATTTTTCCAAATGTATCCATTTCGAATTCTATCCCTTCTTGTCTTGCCATTCATCCATCTCAATATCTTTATCTTCCCTACACTCATTCTATGAGTATATTGTTTTTTGACCGACCAACATTCTCCCCCATAGAGCAAAGTTGGTCTTACAACTACCATAGAAGGAAGACAGGAAGGCGAGCAAGCCAGTACAGAGACCTCTTGGCAGGCAAGCCGAGACCTCCGGTTTTCGTGCTGGCACTAGAGAAAGCAGCCAAGCAAGCAAGCCACGCAGCAAGGCCAACCAGAATGAAGGAAGTTTAGTTCCTAAATCAAGTACTGTTGTTGAAGTCTCAGAGCAGAGCAAATCAGTAGCATCTGAGCTAGCTTGGCAAGAGATGAGCTCGAGCTTCATCATTTTCTGAGTCGAGCAAGAGATGAACTTCATCGATTCTCATCTCGCTCCTTTCATTTGCTCTTCAAAGCACCAAGAACAAGATTTTTATCAACATCAGGAACAAGAATTTTATCTCCCTTGCTAAAGGAGCCCGTTTCTCCCTAAAGGAAAGCGTTTAAGTCCTCTTCCTCTTTACTTAAGGTTCAAGGTGGAAGTTAGGAAAAGTCCTAGTGCCATTAGACACTCCAAGCACAAGTACATCGGAGAATAGAATGAGCACGGTCCTACAACAATGTTGCCAAAATCCTCACTTTGCAAAACAAATCGTGTACGGTTCTATGACAAATGCTCCCAGGGTGCCTGTACGTGGCATCATCGCGTTCATAAAGACTAAGTTCTTATAGAACTTGCTCTTTAGCTTCATTGGTATGTGATTATTACATAAAATTTCAGGTGCACATCTCCATTTCGCTCACCCAACGCTAATTCTATATGTGACGTATTCTCCAATCTCTCAATATTCTTGTATTATCCCAAGTAAATGTTGATGACCTATTTACATGTTTATCTCAATCCAATGCATTTTCTAGCGATATTCACGGCGTGAAGCACTTCCCCTGGAAGACCGTTTGGTTTGAAAAGTCCAATCCAGTAAAAGTGAACTTAACTTATCATACTATACGAGTAAATGAAAGTAAACATTATTCAAGTCTTTAGGTTTGAAAAGTCTTGCAAGTTGAAGCAATTGAAAGTAAAGTGAAACAGTGATATTATGTCACATTTGCCTCCTGCAAAATCCTATGCTGTGAACTGGCACGCACGCACTCTCTCTCTGCAAAATTAAAGGAGAGAATACTTTGGGCTTGAAAAGGCCATAGGAGGAGAAGTTAGGAGTAAATGAAAATAAAGTGGGTCAGTAATATCTCAGGACCTTACCATCTATAAAATCCCTCTTTTAGCTGTGGAGATCAAAAAGCTGAAACAGTTGTAAAACATGGGTATGTCCACGATCCTCTGCCTTGCGCTCCTTCTTCCTTTTTATGGCATTGGTGAGTACACTGTCCTAAAACTTTCATTAATTATCATTTTCGCATTTGCCTGGATTATCCCTACTAAGAGAGGGTATAATCGCCTTGGCTAGGAACTCGCCCCTTGGCTGAGCAGACTTAGGGCTAAGTCTCGGATTCGCATGAGTCTAGCATTGGGCCAAAAGGGCCTTAATTTTTTTTTTTTTTTTTTATTATTTTAAAAAATTGATGAACTAAAAGTACATTCAAACCAGCACCTTTAACTTAGTATTCAGAATTACTGTGGGCACTAGAGTAGATGGATTCATATGAATAGATGGTGCAGATTGGGACATTTAGAATGGTGTCTTGCTTGCCCCGTAAGATCGTGGGTGAAAGCCCCAAATTTGCTGGTTTTATTTCAGGAAAAAGTTTATATAAGATTGCAACTTATATTGAAAAAAAAGGCGCACCTAAAAACTTGATCGAAGAAGGTTGTTTTGATGCTGAAAAACCATTAATTGATCATCTCAACCTTGATATGTACTGATAATAAAAAAAAATAAAAATAAATAAGATTTTAAAGTCTAAAAAATGATACATCTTGGAATAAATTATCTAGGCCATCAATTTTCTAGATTGTCATATGTATATAGATTTGCTGGATCTGTACCTTTTTTTTAGTTTTAAATCACATAAATACATGTTAAGTAGATTTTCTGGTCACCTTTGAAATTTTGGGCTACTGAAATTACATCTTTCGATGAGCTTTAGAGGTGCATCTTACTTGAATTATTTAAAGTTAACATCATATACAAACCACATCCTTTATTTAGAGTGGGAAAAACTAGGCCAATTTGCAGGCCTACTATACTGCAAATTATTGAAAATACAATAGAATATTCATTTTTTTTTAAATGATCCCTTTGGAATTTGTCTAGATAACAATTTTAGTGTTATCTAGACTTGAAATATTGGTCAAAACTCATGTGTTTGTACGGTCTATTTGATTGAAGTAGTTAAGACTGATTTTTAATGAAAAGATGGATCTAACTTAATGCTCCATAACTCAGCTGAGACTACTCGGATTTGGCTGTGTAGCTCAAGCTGGGCACTCTGCCTAGGAGAGTTCTATTAACAAACTTGCGTTTATTAAAATATTTGAAATTTTTAAAATTTTTGTTACTAAATCACTAATAAATAATCTATAAATATGTTTAAGTATTTTTTATTTTTTTTGAAGATTTATAATTTTTTCTTCTTATATACTCTATTTTTTTATTTTTCCTTTTGAATATTTCTGAACTGTTTCAAGCCTTTTGTTGTCCGTATTCTATATATATTATTTTTCCAACTTGTAGACTTTGAATGTTGTTTAAAACTTCTATTGTTTTTTCACTATTGTTAATTATTTTTAATAAAGTTTTTGGTACCCTTTTTATATAATTTTTTCCCAACTTGTAGACTCTGAATGTTGTTTAAAACTTCTATTGTTTTTTCACTATTGTTAATTATTTTTAATAAATTTTTTGGTACCCTTTTATATAATTTTTAGCTCTTTTTTGGGCTCGCACATGACTCAAGCATTTCCACATGGACTTGCTCGAGCTGGGTCTCGAGCGCAAGCTGAATATTTAAAACATGAATCTAGTTCATTTGGACCGATTATGACTAAACCGTGCCTCAACCTATTTGGTAGCCGGTCCGGTTGTCATGACCCTAGCCGGTCTGGTTGTCATGACCCTAGCCGGTCTGTTTTAAGTTGGAGAACATGTTAATCATATGCACAAATATGACCATTTCGAACAGTGTAGTACAAAGCTCATAGTTTCCAACTTTAAAGTAGTAGCCTACCCGTCATCTGTTATGGGCATTGGCCTTACTGCAAGGGAGCTGAAAATATATCCAAAGTGCACTTCAAGGAGATATTGGCAACTTGGACCGAGTAACTCCACCTCACCCTATGGGAGAGGCGAGATTTGGCGGAGTAGGTTGTACAAAACATATATATATCTGGCAAGAAGGTAACCCAAGACCTCTTGTAAAGATGACTATTTGTGTAGAAAGGGCTAACCAGCATGCCAATCTACAACTTTATTGATAAAAGTGGTACTCATGTTATATATAATCATTTTTTTTTCATTTTTTTTTTTAGTAAGGAAGCTGATTTGTCCGAGTAACTCGTCTCGGCTAGGTCCTGAGTATCTTGGCTGAGTCGATTTTATCAATATTGGATGTGTTTATCTATTTTCTTTTTTTTTGTCATAAAGCTTAGGCCTTGTATAAACTTTTTGTCTCCTGCACCCCAGCTGCCGCCGCCAATGGGAAGTTATTCCGTGAATACATTGGGGCGAACTTCAAGAATGTGAAGTTCTCAGATGTCCCCATCAACCAAAACGTCGACTTCCATTTCATACTCTCCTTCGCCATTGACTACACCTCCTCAGGAAACTCCCCTTCTCCAACAAACGGCAAATTCAATGTGTTTTGGGACACCAATAACCTCAGCCCGACGGCCGTTCAAGCCATCAAGGGGAACCACCCCAATGTGAAGGTGGCCTTGAGTATAGGAGGCGACAGTGTTGGCAATGGCAAAGCCTTCTTCACCCCTGTTTCCGTCTCCTCTTGGGTCGACAATGCCGTCTCTTCTCTCACCAACATCATAAAATCCTACAATTTGGATGGCATCGACATTAACTACGAACACTTCAAATCGGACTCCGACACTTTTGCAGAGTGCATCGGAAGGTTGATTTCACAGTTGAAGGGGAACAAGGTCATTTCTTTTGCCTCCATTGCTCCATTTGCTGATGATGGTGTTCAAGCACAATATAAGGCGCTTTGGGCAAAGTATGGGAGTGTGGTGGACTATGTGAACTTCCAATTTTATGGCTATGACAAGGGGACTACTGTTTCTCAGTTTATTGGGTATTTTGAGGAGCAAAGAAATAATTATGGAGGGGGTAAGGTTCTGGTGAGTTTTATTAGTGATAGGAGTGGGGGATTGGCCCCTGGAAATGGTTTTTTCAATGCTTGCAAGGAGTTGAAGAGTAATGGTAAACTGTTTGGGATATTTGTTTGGTGCGCTGACATTTCAAAGGGCAATGGATTTCAGTATGAGCAAGAGGCGCAGGCATTGTTGGCCTCCTAGATTAGATGACCCATGACTACCTTCATGGCTCTCTCTCTAGGTCTACTCTCTCATACTATTATAAATGCAAGGGAACTATCAAGTTTCTATATTGAACTTGTAACGTGGTCTCTATTTATCATATTTATCACTAGTCCTGTCTTGAGTCTATACTGTTAGAGACAAACAAAAAAAAGATAGAGTTTATATAAGAATGCAATTTTAAAAAAGTAGGTGAATTTAATAAAAATATAAAAACAAAATTCATAAAATTTAAATAGACCAAAATACTTATGAAACTTTCAAGGGTATTTCGGTTAATTTATTTTTTTACGAAAAATATTTTTAATATTTTTATTGGGTGCATCTTGATGAGAAGAATGAAAGCCTCAAATTTCACATGATTTGGATTTGTAGAAAAAATATTAAAATTTAAATACGAAATACAGTTGTGATCGTCAAATTGATCCAAATTTAATCTAGGTTATTGAGTTTATATTATTTCATCAGCCAATGGTTGACATGATTTTCTCGCTCTCTTTCTCTCTCTTTCTATGTATATATATACATAGAGAGAAGGAGAGAGAGAGAGAGTTTTAAAATTGGACAACCTTCTAATTAATCATCTCAACCTTAAAATATATATAAATATAAAAAAAAAACATTTAAGTCTTAAATATAGTTCATATTGTAACAAATTATCTTGTCTGTCTATTTCAAGGTTTTCAAATGTTTATAGATTTGCTCGTGTTGCACCATATTTAAAATTTTAAATTTAATAATTTTGGTAGAACATAGATTTTCAAGCCATATTAAGATTTCAACACCGGAATTACATCTTGAGGCAAAATTTAAAGGCGTGCCTCACTTGTATATTACAAGTTAGAGAGCTTATACAAACCTCAGCCTACACAAAAAGTACTAGTGGCCCTTCCCAAGCATGGAGGATACAATTTTTAGCCTATTTTGAGTTCCGACCAAGTGAAGGCCTTCGATAAAAGATTCGAACCTTTGAAGAATGGAAGCAGTCTATTTGTCTCTCTTATAACTATTTGTCTCAATTATTTGATGCTCATATCTGAAAATCGATGACTTTCAAATCCCATGACAAATGCAAACTTTAGTGGAAATAGGGGCAGAAAAATGTATTCCTCTCTGTATACTGTAATCAGTGTGTATGAAATGCGCAAAGTTATCATCGGGTTATAGGAAAACAGAAAGTTCAAAGATAACCATATTTGATAAATTTGCATTGATTCCTCAATATACATATTGAGATATGTTTCTTGAGGAATTATCTTTACCATGAATAATATTTGAACCAACAACGAAAAATAAAGTTTAAGAAGATGTTTTTGATACTGAATTCATCTTAATACATTTCAAAACTCGATGATGAGTTTTCTCCAACTTGGAGAGAATGATGGAGAACAAATTATCTTTATTTTTTATTTTTATTCAATTTCAAAGGATATATATTATAGTTTTATTTTTTGGGTTTATTTATAGGGATTTTTAGTTTTTTAAGAATTCTAAGATTTATATTTTTCTTATTTATTTAATGAGTACTATTCTAAGTACTGTTCATAAGGGTAAAACTATCATTATAAATTTTAAGTTAAATTAGGATATATGGGTCAATATATAATTTGTTTAAGCACTTTTTGTACTTGAAATATAAATTATAATATATAAGAGGTGTGTGGGGCCTTGAGGGGGAGAATTCGATATGATTTTTATAAATTGAAAGAGAGAAAAGCTTAGGCTTTTGAAACCCTAGCTTGGGGTATGGAGAAGAAATCCTAGGTTTATTTGAATAATACTTGTGTTTAATTTTGTTTCTTGTTGAATTTACTGTTCCATCAAATTTTCCTACATCAAGATGAAAGGGGATTATCTCTTTCGCTATAAGGAACTTACAACTCTAGCTCAATTTCTAATTTTAGATAAAGAGGAAAGTTTATATAAGGTTAAGACCTTAAAATGTAGAATCACAGATGCACCTCAAAAATATATTGGAAATGTTGTTTTAATGTTGAAAAAACCCTCTAATCGATCATCTTGACATCAAGATGCATGAATATGAAAAAAAAAAAAGTTTTTGAGTCTCCAAAATAGTGCATTTTGCAACACATTATTAAGACTGTCCATTTTCAAGATTTTCGTATGCTTATAGATAGATTTGATTTTAACCATATTTGGATTTTAAAATTTTCTAGTTAGGTACGAAAATAGATTTTAAAATAATACTAAGAATTTTTTACAACAAAATTACATATTATAATAAAATTTTAAGATGCGCCTTAATTAGATTGTTTAAGGTTGTAACCTTATAGAAACCGCACCCTTAGATAAAATCTCTTTACATCATTGTCAAACTATCATCTTTCTTTTAAAAAACTCTATCTTTAAAGGCAACTAACTTAGGTTGTCTCTTGTTATTATGATGCATTTGTATAGATAATAGAAGTGTCACATCTTTTGTTTATTTATATCCTGAATATAAATTTTCTTGAATAACTTCTATGAGCATGATTATTATCATTAAAGGATGTCTTGAGAAAGTGGCAACTAAAAATTAGGAAGATCTTGTATCCACAAATTGTATGATAAAATTACTTCATACACTAACTATCCCGTTTCACCCCAAAATTATCAACATGTTGCAATTTCTTAGGGACACAGATATAGAGACTGAGAAACATACCGAATCAGAAGGGCGCATGCTATACAATAGAAACCCTCAAAGTTTGAAGCCAATGCCTGACAACACTCGACCATTAGTTGTGAAAGGCGACTCGGAAAATGTTACCCAATGGATCAAAGATAAGCAACAAATCTTGTGACCAATGTTTCGAAAATTGAATCGGCCAAGTGATAAGGCTTTCTTGAAATCCGGCACAAATTGTTGAGACAGACTGACTTTCCTGTGTGAAAATCTGTTTCAAAAATAAAAATTTAAAAATAATAAAAAATAAAATAGGTGGGAACTAGATGATTCTAATTACCAAGTTTCTTATTTGACTCAATCAATTCTTTGATGGAAGTAGCCGACCTTATCAAAATTGGAATGATTTATGGTTCTGATCGGGTCGGTCGCCACTTATTTCCAATCTGGATGGGGAATCAAATTGCCCAATTTTGAATTTCTGGCTGTGATAAATGCTACCGATTTTGAATGAAATCAACTGTTTATTAGTAGGCAACAAATCTCCGCCAACCGTATTTATCCAGCGAAAATTCCATAGCAAATAGCCAGTGAAGTCAATTCTAAAGGCCAAAAAGAAATTCTACTCCTAGGTGAATAGAATGTTCATTTACTCGGTGCGATAAAACTCCAACAAGAATTAATTTTAGGACCTAAAATTTGAGGAATGTATCCTCTTCATCCCATAGATAAACTCTACAAAAAAAGGAAAAAAAGAAAGGTCCTGATTGTAACTTTTATGCACATGAAAAGAAGAGTGTGTCTAGATTGAATAGAGACCATCCAATTTTTAGATGGTGACATCCTAAACTGTTAGAAAATTGAAAATTTAAACTTTTTTTGAGAATAATAATCTAAAGATTTTTAAGTAGTTCCAATAATTTCAGATTGAAAAAATCCCCCAAAATAGTTATTCTGAACTATTTGAAAGAGGTTAAAAGAGCATTCATCTTGTCCGTATGGGATTGAAAGAGGACATTAACAAAACCCTCACGGGGAAGAGAAAGAGAGAGTAAATTATACGGCATGCACAAGCCTAAACAACATAAAAAATCCAAATTACACGTTGGTATTGAGCGGGAGCATAGAAAATTAGGATTTTTGGTAACGTTGGTATTGAGCAGGAGCATAGAAAATTAGGATTTTTGGTAACGTTGGTATTGAGCAGGAGCATAGAAAATTAGGATTTTTGGTAGGGTTGGTTCCTAGGAATCAAACTCAATGCAAATAATCGCTTACGAATCACGGTGTTACCAAAGTCCAACAGCAAATGTTACACACACTAATGCATCAAGTTGACCTATATTTTATCTTTCTTTTCATTTAACAACATCAGCACTAAGGTTGACAATGGGCCGGGCCTCAGCTGGGCTGGCCTTTGCCCTGGCCCATCTTGACCATGTCAGGGTTGGGCTGGGCTGGGCAAAAAGCAAATAAGGAAAAATAAGAAAAAAAACAAGAAAAAAAAGAGGGGCAGTGCCCCGCCGACTTGGGCCGCACTGTCCCTAACCCTGTCAGGGATTGTGGCCGAGCTCCAACTTTTTTGGGGCTAGGGAGTAGGCGGGCTGGGCGGCCCAGTCCATTACCAGCCCTAATCAGCACTATTCCTTATCCTCTGCTCCTCTGGTCTCTGCCTTTTTTAGAGTTCTCTCTCTTCGACGGTGTTTGTGTGGGGTCATGAAAAGTACCCTTATTTCACATGAGTACAAGGTAGAAGTAAGCCATATTGTTTGTTTCAGACAAATATCTTCTATAAATACTTACTCCCATGATATCATGATACACAAAAAGCAGAGGTGAACAGGAAGCATAGGTGAAAGACATGGCCATCTCCTACCTCTTCCTTCTGCTTCTCCTTCCCATTTATGGGATTGGTAAACCTTCCACACAAAATATGGTGCTCAAATAAACACTAAATGAGATTTCAGTATCTAACATCTCTCTCTCTCTCTCTCTCTCTGTGTTTATGCAGCTGCTGCCCCCAACACGAGGCTATTTCGCGAGTACATTGGCGCCGAGTTCAATAATGTGAAGTTCTCCGACGTTCCCGTCAACTCAGGCGTCGACTTCCACTTCATCCTCTCCTTCGCGATCGACTACTCCACATCAGGTTCCCCTTCTCCAACGAATGGAAAATTCAACGTGTTTTGGGATGCAGAAAACCTGAGCCCATCAGCCGTTCAGGCTATCAAGGCCCGCTACCCCAATGTGAAGGTGGCTTTGAGCCTAGGCGGCGACAGTGTAAACGGCGGCTATGCGTATTTTGCCCCTGCCTCTGTGTCATCTTGGGTCAACAATGCGGTGTCGTCACTCACTAAGATCATCAAAGCCTACAATTTGGATGGCATCGACATCGATTACGAGCACTTCAAGTCAGATCCCGGCACTTTCGCCGAATGCATCGGAAGGCTAATTTTGGAATTGAAGAAAAACAATGTTATCTCTTTTGCTTCCATTGCTCCATTTGATGACAGTGAAGTTCAAAGCCACTACAGAGGTCTTTGGAAGAAATATGGGAATGCTGTGGACTATGTGAACTTCCAATTTTATGCATATGATAAGGGGACCACTGTTTCTCAATTCGTTGATTATTTTGAGGAGCAGAGTTCAAATTACATAGGGGGAAAGGTTTTGGTGAGTTTTATTAGCGATGGGAGTGGGGGGTTGGCGCCTGGAGGTGGGTTTTTTGAAGCATGCCAGAGGCTCAAGAATGAAGGGAAGCTTCATGGGATTTTCGTTTGGTCCGCAGATGATTCTAAGAGCAATGGATTCCGTTATGAGACCCAGTCCCAGGCGGTCTTGGCCGACTAGATCACACCTCTCTCTCTCTCTTATATGCTTTTGACACTTACTTGTACATAGGCCTGCATTTGTTATTTTAGTATGTGTGCAATGTAATCGTTTTCGTCTCTCTTCTACATACGGTTGCAATCTCTCTCTCTCTCTATCATGCGTCTTTTATATGTTTTAGTCTCTGTGTTTTTAAAGTCAGATCCAAAAGGCTTTGGATCGCTCTTTTTTTTCTTGTTTTTTTTCTTATTTTTCCTTATTTGCTTTTTGCCCAGCCCGGCCCAACCCTGACATGGTCAAGATGGGCCAGGGCAAAGGCCGGCCCGGCCCATTGCCAACCTTAGTGCTGATGTGGTTGTTAATGAAAAGAAAGATAAAATATAGGCCAACTTGATGCATATGTGTGTGTAACATTTGCTGATGGACTTTGGCAACACCGTGATTCCTAAGCGACCATTTGTATTAAGTTTGATTCCTAGGAACCAACACGACAAAAAACCCTAATTTTCTATCCTCCTACTCAATACCAACATGTATATATTTGGATGTTTCCGGTTGTTTAGCTTTGTGCCTGCTGTATAGTTTACTCTCTCTCTTTTCCTGCAATTGTCCTCATTCAAACCCATGTTACGAGCGATGGTTTTTTATTTTTTATTAAACGGTTAATGACAACTTCATTGAAGAATCAAATTATATTTCCATGTGTATCATACTCTGTAAAATTAGAAGTTGACCACCGTCAATCCTATTTTGGAACGAGCACATATAATATGCTTCAGTGTTTTAGTACTCTATCCGAGTTGGGTCTCCCATTTGGACGTATT